TTACTAGTATACATGTTTGTTCTTGCAAGTGCATTTATTATTTCAGTTATAATTATAAATTTTTAAGAGTAATGATTACTACTCATTGTTTCTATTACAAAAACACCCAATTCATTGCATAAGACTACACCAGCCCCCTGTCTTCTAAATTCATGTACAAGCTAAAAACAGAACTCATTTTCAGTATATATTGAAGAAATCTCAATGATCCTTATATCATTTTACTTCTTTCCTTCCTACTTAGAATAAACCATTCTCCTTTTTATTTATCTTTTTCTTTCATAGTCATTATGTTTATAATTTTTTATATGTTATATATTTATTATTTTTATATCTATAATCATTTATCTGCTATATATATATTTTATATATCTGTAATTTTTTTATTTATGATATATCTATATTTCAAATATTTTTTATTATTGAACTCATAAAAAATAAATAATATTTTGTGATAAAGTGATATTGTAATTATTTATCTAAAAACTCATATTTAGAGAGAGAAAAAAAAGTATTTATCACTACAAAAGCGTTACATAATAAGGGCTGTAACGTTAGGCAATATATTCTTCTACTAGTATACGTGTTTGTTTTTACAAGTACATTTATGATTTCATATATAATTATAAATTTTCAAGAATAAAAATTATTATCTATTGTTTCTATCTCAAAAACTACCCAATTAATTGTATAAGACTGCACCAACCCCCTCTATTCCCAATTCACATACAATCATAAGACAAAACTCATTTTCAGTAAATGTTTGAGAAATCTCACTGATCTTTCTCACAGTTTTGCTTCTCTTCACCCTACTTAGTATAAATTATTATCATTTTTATTTATCTTTTTTTTTCATAATTGATATGTCGATAATTCTTTATATGTTATATATCTATTATTCATATATCTATAATCATTTATTTGCTATATGTATATTCTTCATATATTTATAATTTTTTATATGTGATATATCTATATTTTAAATATTCAGCTTTCTTGCTCGTAGGTAAATCAATCAATGTTCATATGTGGTTGACACGCATAGTTGCCATCTCGTCCTCCCCACCAACTCCCTTAGCTACTTATCTTATTTACCCTGCTTCTTGGCCATCTTCGCATATGTCATTACTTAGGTCAGAATTATCAGCTCACTCTGAAAGAATAAATGAAAGAGCAGCTCCTGTGGCATTTGACTCAAAGAGAGTTACATCAACAGTTTCCTGAAAAATGCATCTTTTTGCAAAGGTACCAGTGTCAGAGCCTGGTGAGGCATATGTACTTGACACTCATGATTGGACCGGAAGGCATAAGAGAGTATAGAAGTAGGGGAGGACAATTGATATGCGATATTCAAAATTTTTAGATCGGGTAATTGCTACTGAAATAAAAAAATAAAAATATAATAGAGCTTGTGGTAAGGTTAGATTATAACTATTTCTCTAAAAATTCATTTTTAGAAAGAAACAAATGGCATGTACCACTAGCAAAGGCGTTACATAATGGGGACTATTAGGTTAGACACTATACCCTTTTACTAGTATACGTGTTTATTTTTACAAGTGTATTTTTAATTTCGGCTATAATTAGAGATTTTTATGAGAAATAATAACTATCCATTGTTTATATCTCAAAAACTACCCAATTCATTGCATAAGACACAAACTAAAAATGAGTTTTATCTCAAGGTTTTATGTGAATTGGGAAGAGGGTTGGTGTGCTCTTATGCGATGAATATGGTGATTTTTGAGATAGAAGTAATATTTAGTAATCCTTGCTCTAAAAAGTTTCTAATAATAACTAAAATCATAATTGTATTTACAAAAATAAACAAGTATACTAGTAAAGGGCGTATACTGCCTAACTCTACAACCGTTGCTAGTGGTACATGCTCTTTTTTCTCTCCGTATTCAACTTATTTTCTCTATTTAAATATGAGTTTTTAGATAAATAATTACAATATTACCTTACCACAATCACTATTATACTTTTATTTTTTGAGTTCAGTAGCAATAAATATTTAAAATTTATATATATCACATATACAAAATTATAAATATATAAAAAATAAATATATAAAGATAAATAATTACAGATATATGAATAATATATATATATAATAAATATAGAATTATAGTTATATTAACCATGAAAGGAGAACAATTCAAATCTAGTATGTTGGAGAGAAACAAAATGGTGATAAGGACAGGTGAGATTTATGAAGCACATATTAAAAATAAGTTATGTCTTACGGATGTATCTAAATTGGGAAGAGAGAAGAAACTTGAGGCCTTATGCAATGAATTGAGTGGGTTTTGATATAGAAACAATAGGTAGTAATTTTTACTCACAAAATTTTTTAATTATAACTGAAATTATAAATGCACTTGTAAAAACAAATAAGTATATTAATTAAGAGTAATATTACCTAACCAAATAACCCCTATTATGTAACATATTTGCCAACTTTTGGTACAGACCTTTTTTTTCTTTCTATAATAATACATACAAATTAATTTTTTAAATAATTTAATCACATAATTATTGCACTAATAAAAATTTATATAAAATTTATGCTACGTAGTAGACACAATGCTAGTATAAGTTGAAAGTAAAAAAATTATTAAATACTTTTCAAAAATATATGATTTATTTGAAAAAATAGTTTAATATGAAAAAAAATAATAAGAAAATGAGTAATTTTAGGTATTAAAAAAGTATTTTTTTTTTTTTTTGTGGCTGCATTTTTATATGACAAATCCCTTAATAATGTTAATGATATTAAACATATACAAATTAATACATATATTTTTTTAAAAAAATTAATATAAAAACTGATTAAATATTTAAAAATAATATAAAAACTGAATTTAATATTTATTCCGATTAAAATTTGTAATAGATAATAACGTACAAGTTTTGTTCTTTTGTAAGTAATTGTCAATGAAAGAGAACCAGCGAGAGTGACAGAGAACAAAATGCTCGCCTTCTTTCTTTTTCGTTTTTTTCCCCGCACGTTTCTTTACAAAATTGTCCGGCGGCTAAGGGTGTCGTCGAGCCGATGTATCTGCCGTCTAATCCGACGAGAAGAAGAGAGGATATTTGAAGCCCGATGCGGATGGTGGTCGAATACAATAACGTCGTCGTTTTGAGCTGAACTCACGAAACAATCAAGAGACCCGATAACAATAAATGCATTTTCCCAGGGAGTGGTTGTCTCGATTCCCGAGTACTAAGAGCCAAACAGGGCACAATTTTCCATGCCACATGTTTCATTATCAGGGGTAAAATAGTAATTTAACATATATTATCAGAAAAGGAATTTTTGCCCGTATTCCTCTTTTATTTTTAAAGCACCCTTGGGAGTATATTTACGATGTAATTTTATTTTTAAATAAATTAATTTTATCTAGTAATAAATAAGTAATGTTATTATTAATAAATAAATCAAATATTGTTACAGTAATTTTTATTTAATATCTTAATGCTTAATAATCAACTCAAATTTTTAACTATAACTACTAATGTATTAGTTTAATAATCATTTATACATTTGAGATATAATTAATTTACTAAGTGTAATTTTAATATTCACAATTATAAATTTTATATTAACAGATATTAAAAACAAATAAAAAAATATTTATCTTCAAATTTTTACCGTATTCGTATCATATCATATTAAATTATATTTTTTACTCAATAAATTATATCTTCAAAAGTCAACCATATTTTGGTATGAATTAATGACACTTAATAAATGCTTTCAGATTTATCGGTACAAAAAACAAACAAATTACTCAATAATTATAAATAAAATAATTATTTGCAGTTGAATTTTAGGACAGGTGGTTGACTTTTAAAAGGTCATCATCATCGACGGCTGTTAAAAATGATGGGATGATAATAAAATAATATCAGATCCAACTAAATTGAATAAAATAAATAGATAAATAAAAACATGTAGTGGCGACTCCAAGAGAATATCATTTCCCAATGTAATGTCACCCTCCGCGTTACAATAAAATATTCCACGATACGACTTTTCTTATTATTAAATATTTAATCATGTGAGGCACGTCGTGATAATATTTTATACTCAAATCTGAACCGTTGGAATTTAATTGTGTACAATTTTTTTTTTTAGGTTTAAATTGGATTGAAATTTAGAGAAAAAAAGCGTTTAAATTCGATACATATTTTTTAATTTTCGTTAATTATAAATATATTCATATCTATATATAGTATATTAGTTTGTATATTAATAAATACAATTAATAGATTATTATATATTAAAATAATATATAATATAAATATGACTGTGTTATATAACACTGTAAACTCAACATAAAAAAATTAAAATTAATTTCGGTGCGGATCTGAATTTAGTTTTACTATTAGTTTTAATAAAATAATATTTATTAAAATTGTAATGTGATCCTCGTGATTAGTTTTTAATTATCTGAAATATTCTGACTAAGTTATAATTATTATTTTAATCAGTTAGTAATTAATGATTTATTAATTAAACAACGGCTGCATATTAATAATTCTCAAAACTTAATCCTAATATTATATTTTGAAATCAAAAGACTTTCAGTTTTTTACTGTAAAAAGTTGTATAAGAACGAAGATATGAAAGAGCATGGCCGCGTGGAGCTGTGTTGGGTGACTGATCCTCTCTCTCTCTCTCTCTCTCTCTCTCTCTCTCTCTGTAGACTGTTGCCTCTTGTTGCGCAAACATGTCAGCTGTGTTGCAGAGAGACGAAGAAGAGCACATTGAACGAGAAGAAGTAAATGAAGAAGAAGAAGAGCAGCAAGAGGTGAGTCTGCGAGGAAGAAGAAAGTCAAAATCAAGGAATGAGCAGAAGGAGAATTCAGTTTCTTCTCCAATCGGTAATGGCGATACAACTGATAGCAGCAGAGCGGAATCTGAATCTCCCAAAGGGAGAGAACAAGAAGAGTATAACGAGCTTCATCAACACTACAATGGCGATCAAGTCCATGTCGATGCACTAACATTACAGCAAGATGGAGACCTTACCAGCTCGAATCGCAGCGTTTACTTCGATCAAGCACAAGGTAAGCTCATCTACTGACACACATCTGTTCTTTTTCCACCCCTCCTTTGCTGCTGAACTGGTTTCTGGTGGCGGATGCTGAATTTATTTTTGTGCTATTTTTATCTGCACTGGAGGATGCATTATTTGTTCTCCTGCCAATTTAATCTGCACTTAGCAGATACCAAATTTGCTTTTCTACCATATTGATGTGCGGATGCCAAATTTATTTTTCTACCATATTTGTCTCTGTTTTAATCTAATCAGAGGTGACTGATTCTCTATTCTGCCATTTTCAACCACCAAATGGAAGCAGAAACGCTCTGGTTTTCACACATTTAGAGATGCTTCTTCTTGTTATGTGCTTGGGTGCCTTAGATATTTATTTTCTTCGTTTCTTTTTGCTTGCTTGCTTGTTTGTTTCTTCGTCTTTTTTTTTTTTTGCATGTCGGAAATTGGAAGTTTCCATAAGAGAGCTGACCCAGGCTTCCCTTAGACATCCATGGTTATATATAAACAAAAACTTATATATTAGTTTGACAAAGCGGGACCGCGTTTGAAGGGTGAAAATGGGTATAATTTGTTACTCTTGTCGGACAAAAAAACTCGTGTTCCCTTCCTTCCCATCTTCATGGCCCTCCCACAAAGACCCTACAGAGAAAAAGAGGCTTTACTATTATGCTTGGACTTCGAAAGAAACAGGAAGCTTAAACTGCGGGCTACCATACTACTACTAGTGAAATTTTTACTGCTCAATTTCACTGTTATTACCATTCTTTTTGTCGAGAAGAAGCAAAAGAGTTTTGTGATTTGCTGAACGGTGTCACTGATTCCCATGATCTATGCGCGTCCTTGTTAGTCAAAGTGGTGATAGATACAAGCCCTAGATAATGCAAGGGATATATCTTGTTGTTGAGATCACTAGGGTAGACACTGTCTTCTTCTTCTTCTTGTGTTTATGGGTTTTATATGGGCTTTCTCTTCGGTAATTTCTTGTCTGGGGGAGATGAAGATCCCATTACTCTTACTTTGTTTGTGAATGAAGGATTATGGAAATGTCGCCACTGCAGTTGGACTTGGACCAACCTATTTGGAAATCCTGGGACTTTTCATAATCACAACTCAAGGGAATGCTTCCCGGACATGGTGATCAGCATTAAATCTTTAGGTCCAAAAGGATCCTGCTTTGTTTTTGAATCTAAAGGTCAGTAGATGTCCAGGTTTCATAAATCAGTGGTAGTAGTAGTAAATATGTAACAATAGTGTCATAACTTTTAGTGTTCATCATAATTTAAAGCACTTCCTTTTTCATCGTCCCTGAGTTTGATAGATGATTTTATGTTACTTGTCTAGGTAGAATTCTCGATGGCATAACTAGTAACTAGACATGTGACCATCCAGTCTAGACATGCCATATGCATCAGGATTCTTATGGGTTGTTTCTCGGTGAAAAATTCTCTGTTATGAGATGAGAACATCATTCTTTAGCTATTTTATCTTTTGTTTGAAAATTCGGTATGGTTATGTGGATGATGACCTCATATATACTAGTCTATGCAATTAATGCATTTAATTCTGGAGTTTGTAATTACATGTTATTCTTGCCTCTTGGTTCCAGGGACTGAATTGACTGATGGAGATTCTTGTATTGAGAATGGTAACCAGGAAAGCTTTATTGATGAGAACCTGATATTGGAAGTAAAGAAGGTTGACATTCAAAACAGTACGACCTACGAACCTAACCATCAATTTACTCAAAATTCAGTGAAGGGAAGCTTTTCTGGCTTCAATCCATCAACCTTAGAAGATTCATCTGAAGGACAGAATGCTGGTTTACAATTTGAGAGTAAATCTAGTGAAGATTCCGATGAAATAGAAGAAGTTGACCAGGAAGGGACGGATTTAGATGTCGAGAGGGTGCTAAAGGAGCAAGATACACATGAATTGTATTGTCCTAATTGTCATTCCTGTATCACTAGAAGGGTTATTCTATTGAGAAGAAAGCGAAAAGTTCGCAAGTTGAAGAATAAACCTAAGCATGAGAAAGTGGAGACTGTAGATCCCTCTAATCTTATCCCTAAAAATGTGGTTGATTCTAGCAACTTAGTTAACAATTCTTCAACGGGCAGTCAAACACCTGAGATGATGTTCATGAGTTGGAAACGGAGCGAGATGTATTCAGATGCTTAGCATGCTTCAGCTTCTTCATTCCTACAGGTACTTTCTCCCCTTACTCTATGGAGATCTC